CATATTAATATAATATCTTAAATATCTTTAAAGTTGCTTATCTCACTCCTTACCATTCCTCCCCACCTCCTACCACCTCTTCTAAACTATGTGTATTTGGGGAAAAAAAGTACTTTTCTCTCTTGCCTCTGAATATATAAGTTCAATTACTTCCTTGCCTGGAATTCTTTCTTGTCTGGTTCCCCATTCATCACAAATTCCTTAACATCCCTCAGCACTCACAGAGGGAGCACCTACTCCAAGAAGCCTTGCTCACTCCTGATCTGTATTAGGTGCTTTTACTCTTGCTTGCAAAGAACTTTACACTTGTCTCTAACAAAGCATGTATTACTCTGTAACGTAATGGTAGTTTTGCAAAGAAAAATATCTCAAAACCATAGTGGACCAGGACCACATAACATACAGACACATAGTTTTCCACATATTCAGTAAATCACATATTGTAGACTACTTTCTATCCAAATAACTGTTTCCCACACTCAGTGTTACCAAGAAAACTTACCCAGAATGACTTGTTTTCTACAATTGCAAATTATTGAGATTTTGTTGTAAATAACAATTTGGCTTTATATTATTACTAGCAAGTAGCTTACTTACGTTATAGATTAAGCTTCTATGATCTTTATCTGGAAACTTAGCCAGACTTTATCATATTAATTCTATGAGGGGAAAAATGCATTTTGCATTCAAATCAAGTGATTCAAGAATACAGCCTAGTTGTTTTTTTGAAATTGCTGATATCCAGACTTTTTTTTTTATTACAAAGGTCAGTTTTTCATGTCATTTGTAGCAATATGAATGAAGTAGAGGAGTTACATTAAGCGAAATGAACCAGAAAGGGAAAGATAAATACCGAATGGTCTCATTTATATGAGGGAGATAGAGAAAACAAACAAAGGTTCAGACAGAGACAAACATTAAAACCCAGCCCTTGAAAACTTACCATAGATCATCGAGAAGGGGGGACAGGAGAGCAAAGTGTACTGTGGTGGGGACTGTGGGTGCTTTGGTGGCGGGTGCATTATGGTGACCACACCTGAAGGAGATCCTGCATTTCCAGAATTAAAGCAACAGTGTAAACCAATGATATTTCAATTTGAAATTGTTTTTAAACATGTCACTTTTATATGATTCAAACAGAATATTTTCAAGTATAACTATGGCAAGTTGGATATTACCTATGTATTCATTTCTTAATTTTATATTTAACACAAAAATATACTTGCAAGGTGCCAACCTCAATAGGCTATTGGATATTATAACTTTTCTGTTTAAACAGTAAATCATAAGTTTTGGGGAATTTTTTAGTTGTACAGATATTTATTCCTCTAGTCAATCACTGCACACAACCAAGATAGATGGTGTAGATTTTTTTTTCAATGGCAAATAATTTAGGTTTCAAGAAGTTTTAAACCTATTACATGCCTTCCAGAAAACATTTAACTGAAACTTTTCAAGGCCAGTGATGAAAATAGAAAGGTTGATTCAAAGACGCTAGCAATTGAAATTAACCATTGTTAAGTCAGCAAAACCAGAATTGAAAGGGTGTGTGGGACAATTCTCTCTATATTTCCAACACAGTCATATTCATGATGGAGCACCAGCAGAAGCCTAGTCTGCTAGATGACATGAAGCAAACATAATAAACTCAACAGAAGGTGGTAGAATGTTAAGACTGGCAAAATTGATAGCCTGGCAAGTTTGTGGAATGGTAAGGGTATGCAGGTATCTGACCACATATGAGAAAAATAACTGCAGAAAACACTTAGGGTTAGATTGGAAATCATGAACTTTTGTTGACACCTACATCTGTTCCATGACTTCTCAGTAGCCTTCTGGGAGTGGATACTATGGCTTTACCCAAGATGACTTTTACAACTAATTGGAATGAACAGGTATCTCCTTCTAAGTAAAGTCAACCATGTTTTCTCAGGTCCTAATTTTCACAAATGAATAAAATAGCAAATATATTTAAATTTTGTATCAAAGCAAATATAAATTTTTCTATCCTGGCACTGAAAAGTTATCTAACTAATGGTTACTAGTTTTCAAACCTCTAGCACTGACTACTTGTTTATAATCCTTGGGTTAAAAATTTCATTCTGATCTTAATAATTCCCTTCTCTTTTACTGGATGTTTAGTTTCCATCATTTTCAATATACACTAGTATAAATACCATTACTGGCTACTTTGAACAAAATTCAGGATTCTATATACCCAATAGAGTGTCATGGGATTAAAGTAGGAGCATTTACCATTTGCTGTTTTACAACTACTGTGGAGATAATTTTGTTTAGGTTAGCCAGCAAGTTTCATTTATAAGAGAACGCCCTTGCAACCGATTTCTTCAATTTTCCTAAAAGTGGTGACTTTTAAACTTTCACTTTTTAGATGCAGCAGTTATATAAATGGAATATGGGACTAAATCTAAAAATGGAAGTCCTCATTAACATTCATATTTTTTACATATGATCACAACGAAGAATTAATATATCCTTCACTTTTTTTTAAAGGTTTATTTATTCATACAGAACTGGGGTACAGGCCAGAGATGCGGAGGGTGAGAGAATTCACCGGAGACAGAGTGGGGAGCAGAACAGGCAGATCGACGAAGTACACTGCTGAGGGGAGCAGCGGGCGGGTCAGGAGAGGTCTGCCACGCCATGTGGTCACCTCCGGGGCAGACGGGGATTGAACTCATGCGGAAGTGGCTTAAGCTTCTTAGTGCAGTACTTTAACCCGCTGCACCACCAGGGAGGGCCTATCCTTCACTTTTTAAACAAAATCCAACTTAAATATGTTCTCACCAACTCCACAAAAGAGCCATTTGAGAGTAAACAAGCAGAACATGGCATCATCACCCCAATAAAAATGTAGATTTTATCATATGTACCAATAAATCTACAAGGCTAGATTCTATAGTCCTCTGTTACAGACTTTATTTTATACCTATTATACCAAACAGCATTTTAAATGCTGACCTAATAAGATAAAACAAAGATAAAGCATTTATTTTATTAGAAACAAGATACACCATCACATATAGTCTTCTCAACACTACTGCACTTTAACTTTCATAATTTGACAGTACATTCATGAAACAATCTGCAGACACTAGCTTTTACAAATTAAGAAACACTGTTAAGCAGACATGACTGTTCTAAATTGTTTATTAGGTAAGAATTTTATAAACATTACTTATTATTGGCAGTAATGGTGGAGCAGGAGACAATTGTGCCTTCTCCAAGCTGCCTGGTGAGAACCCAGTGAGAATATTTCCGAAGCCAGGTCTCCTACACCTACAAGTGTCAGTACTTGCATCTTTGTGTACTTATGGGCTGGCTTGGTGATCCACTGGGTGTCAGCATTTTTTTGGGGGGGGGGGTAGCTTTATGGAATGGGTCAACGAGTATAACATCAAAGAACTTATACATGGAATCCTCTTTAACCCAGTTAAAGTTCAAAACTCTCAGAGCCCACAATTGCATCCAACTCCTCAGCAAGAGACTGAAGGCTTCAAGTAAACTTTAGTTGGTCAAAACTATGATGGACAGGCTTGCTGTAAGTTGCACACCTAGGGATTAAACATTAGCAACCACCACGGTGCAAATAAATCCCATATATAATATAAGTTTGTTGGGCCTGGTATCTCTATGCATTTTATCAATCTGGTGTGTGTGAGGTCCTGTGGAGCACTGAAAACAGCAGGTAATACTAATAGTGCACCCTGACAATGAAGCACATCATACCACATCAGACAGCTTCTCCCCACAGTTGCTGGATATACTTGTAAGCACCTCTCTTGGCTTGCCTAATGGCTGCCACCAGATAGGAAAGAGCCTTTTACCCCTTAACTATAAGATTTTGAAGAAAGTTTGTATATACTGTTAAAAGATTTTTTGACCCTACATTTTTTTTTCAGATTCATCATAAATGCAGCAAGATAAGATGTTTCTGAAATTGTTTGGTTCTTGAAAACTACAAGGATCAAAATGCCAATTTATTTGTTGTTTTTTGACCCCCAAACTAACCAGTCTATTTTAAAGATTAATTTTAATAATAGTAATAAGCTAACACTTATTGAGTGCATATTACATGCTGGGTACAGTGCTAATCTTACAATTGCTTTATGAACAAAGTACTATTATACATATTTACTGATGAGTAGATTAAAGTTTAAGTAACTTGCCCAAGGTTAAATATCTATAAGTGGCAGAGTCAGGATTAGAATCACTCTCTGTCCTACTACTCCATCCACTGTTTACTTCAGAAACATTTTTTAAGCCACAAAGAAGCATTCATGCTGAAGGATTATGATTCACCTCAGCAAATATATGTCTAATATGTGGTTATCATTAATGAAGCCAAGCCCATGAAACATTGTATGTTATCATGAGAGATCATCATAAGGTAATAGAGGACCAAGTACCAAAATAAGTCTTACAGACAGTTCTGTAGGAATTTAGGAAAGGAAAAAAGATAATTGTGCTCTTTGTCAAAGCTAACTCCCATGAAGGTGCTGACATAAATAGGACCATCCAATCATAACTGTACCGAAAACATTATTGGAACCAACCAAAAGGTCAACACAAATAAAAATGTGGGGAATCATAGATAATGTAGTCCATGTAGATAATCATAGATAATGTAGCCAACTCAAGTCTACCCCTGGAAAAATACCAGCAATACTGTAGGAGATGTTAGAAATCCATGTCTAGGCTCTCTGAACCCTAGTACTATGTGAAGAAATTGGACTTACAGGATTATTCATTACATATTTGGAGCAGAAGAGCAGGGATTCAGAGACTAAACAAAATTTCCTGCATGTGACTGGAATAATGGCATTGAAAATGGAAATATTTATACAGTAGAGGAAAAGATGGGCTCAAGCTTTAGACACATTGAACTTAAGGTGAAGGTAAACTGTCTACAGAAAGCTAGTTTTTTATTTTGACTGTGGTTTACTTGGGTCAGCCTTTGATTCATCTTGTTTTTACAGATGGCCCTTCTGAATTTCTTCTTCCCTGAAGAAAAGTCATACTCTGAAGAGGAAAGTAGGCATGTTCGCCGCAATAAAAGAAGCAAAAGCAGTGAAGGGACAGATGGTAAGTACCGAGAGATCCTTTATCACATTTCAGTGAATGAGAGTGCCCCTCTGAGAACTACCTTCTCAAGTATTCCTCACCACTGCATATACTGTCCACAGACCCAAGGTCACAGAAGAAGGTTTTTCAGGCCTAATCTACCTATGAATCTTCTGACATAGAACTGACTCTGCAAGGATTCTCTCTTCTCCAACCCCAGATTCCTTTAATACTTTCACAGTATGTGTGAGGAAGGTGGTAACATTTGTGCTTTTTTGTTTGTTTGTTTTCTGTTTTTTTGTTTTGAGATCACACTCCATAAGGACCGCATCTCTCCTGTGAATATCCCACATCTACAAAGGCCACCAAGAGGATTCAGTCCTATTCTTAGAATTGACAGGGCACTGTACCATGCTAGCCCTTACATAAGGTGCTAATTCCAATGATAATTGTGTCGATGTTGGTATCAGCTGCCATGCTCAGATATGAACTAGGACTGCTGGAACTTGTTTGTGAATTCCTTGAGGGCAGGAATTAATTTCTCTTTGTATAACCCCACAATCTAGCTGAGTGTTTGGCAGATTGTTGGTACCTGTACTGTAACTTAATGGTGTTGATTATCCCTTTAGATAGATTGTGATATGCTTGGAAAATTATTCCTATTGAGGATGATACAAATTTGAGTGAACTGGCAGTGCGTTCTATGGGACATAACAAAAATTGTGCTAGCTCTTGGGCAGGATCTTTGAGTCACTCCATTTCAAGATCTCACTGTCAATTGATAGACTACATTTTCTTTGGCACAGGGGTTTATACAGTGCATAACTCTGGACTGCTGCAAAGCCATCTGGATTCGAAGACAGTATGTGTCTTGCTATATCTGCCAAAGATATATGTTTGGTGGGTTACAAAGCATTATGACTTTATAAAGATAAAAATGAGACTTTTAATTAAGACTTTATAAAGATGAAAATGAGATTTTTAAACTAACTTTAATCTATGTAAAGGCCAATGATGGAAGCAGTTCCAGAAGGCATGAACCACTGGGAAAAAAAAAATGGGGCCAGGACATTTTCAATAGGGTCAAGAAGAAACAGAACTAGATTAAAAAAACAACAAACAACAACAAAAAACCTACATAACAAGCGCTCGATAGTAAAAGCAGAAAGTAGGAAATAAGATAGGTCACGTGTTCTTGTCAGTGCAGGTGACAGTATCATTGAGGCCTTGAACTGAGCCTGTGGGGCCCTTTTCTAGAGAAGACACTCTGTATGCAATTGATCACCAAGTTTAAACTTAGGAAATGTGATCCATTGAGTTAAAAGTGACCCATTATTCACAAACGGCTTGCCATCAATTTCCTAGAAGTCTTCAGAAGGCCATGTGATGTCAAAATTGAGCCATGGTCCCTTCCCATGCCTGACGTCTCACCCTCTGGTTGATATAAGTCTTTCCACCTTTGACTCTTCTGTTTGGGCTACCAAATCTTTTAATTTACCCAGTTACTGAGAAGGGAAAGGTGATAACAGCAGTATTACCTTTTGTAATGGGCATGATTTTTCTTCCTTTCCAAGTAAAAAGTCTACTAGCTTCTATTTTTTTTTCTTAATCTGTACACCAAAATTTTATCTTAAAGAAGGTAGCTTCCTCCTCACCCTGTAACCACTGTATCTATATCTAACTAACACCATCTCTAATACTTGATCCTCTTCATAATATTCTGTTTTCATTCAAAATAGTTTTTCCCACTGGTCAAGGTGAAAGCTTCTCTTATTAACTTTTTAATTCTTATCTAATTTCCTCCTAGTCTGATAGTCTCATCAATCACTAGATTCTAGTCACTTTGTACCAACAGTAAGTTTATCTTACAATCCCAGGTATTTAAAATGTATTTATTTATTTTACATCATTCTTCATTTTGTGCATTTTTTCATCTCAGTTGTAAGCCCTGTGGACTTGCCACCACCAATTCACCCGTGTGTCATCACCATATTCCCGTGCACTCTTCCCACCTTAGTTTTGATCCTGTTCCCATTTCCACCCATATAAAATGTCTCTGGTTTATAGTTGCTTGTTATTTTTCATTAGGTATTGTTCTTTAACCAGTGTAGCTGGGAGAAATCCAAGGAATCAAATTCTAGAATTTGATTATATTTCCAGTCTTACCTGAGAGGCTAAAGAACCATTACTTTAGATGTAGTGGGTACACCAGTGAGTTAAGGGATGATGGGCCAATTCAAGTCTCCTTTATTTCTAAACAATTACTGTTCTCTGCTGAATGAAATGCTTTATTTATCTGCTAGAGTCACTAAATATTTACTGATAGAAGATAGTTTATATAATATTAGACAGAAATGCCATGTGGATATTGTTGTTTCTCTTTGTTTACTTTTGTATCTTCATTGCCTAGAAAAGGACCTGGCAAAAGCCAGGCCATCCACAGATATTTCTTGTTGCCCTTGAGTAGCTTATCTTTCTGTACAAAGTGACAAAACAAACAAAGTTAATGATGATAAACATTGCCAAAAATACAGAGAAGAGCAGGGTGAAGAAGTGATGGGATGTGCTATATATGATCAGGAAAAGTCTCCCTAATAAGAGAATATCTGAAAAAAACATGAATGAAATGAAGGCATGAGCCACATGAATGTTATGGCTATGGGAAAGTAAATACACATGCTTTGAAGCAGAAGGAACCTTAGTATGTGCTGGAAAGCCCAGTGTGGGTGAGAGTAGAGTGAACAAAAAAGAAAGGGGAAAAGATGAGATCCAAGAGCAAAATCTAATCTACAGCCTTGTAGGCCAGCTCAGACTCTGATTTTAACTTTAGGTGATATGGGGAGCCACCTGAGGATTTCAAGCAGAGGAATGACAAGATCTGATTTATGCTTAAAAAAAAAATCCCTCTGGCTGTGTTATTGAAATTGCTTCTGGGATAAAAGCTGGAAGCAGGGATATTAGAAGACTAACAATAACCCAAGCAAGAGATGGTAGCAGTGGGGCTGGTGAGTAGTGGTCCAGTTGTATCAACAGATAGATTTTTTAATGATATAATAGTTTATTTTTACATCATTTTGTGACTTTTTGCATCTCAGTTGTCATCCCTGTGGGCTTCCCATCACAAGATCACCCATGTGCCATCACCATAGTCCAGTGCACTTCTCACCCTCCATTTTTTATCCTATTCTGTACTCCACCCCTGCAAAATGTCTTTGGTATATAGTTGTTCATCGTTATTATTATTATTTTCTCCCCTGGTCCTTTATATTCCTGCTATGAGTGAAACCATCCAGTATTTTCCCTTTTCTTTCTGGCTTATTTCACTAAACATGATCCTTTCCAGCTCTATCCATGTTGCTGCAAAGACATGGGTTTGTTTTTTTGATTGCTGAGTAATATCCCATTGTATATATGTACCACATCTTTTTAATCCAGTCATCTACTTTTGGGCATTTGAGTTGATTCCATGTCTTTCCTATTGTAAATAAGCAGCAGTAAACATGGGGTTGCAGGTATCTTTTTGAATCTGTGTTTTTGTGTCTTTTGAGTAGATACCTAGGAGAGGGATTGCTGGGTCCTATGGAAGGTCCATCTTTAGAAGCATGAGAAACCTCCAAAAAGTTTTCCATAGTGGTTGTACTAGTTTGCATTCCACCAGCAGTGCAGGAGAGTTCCTTTTTCTCCACATCCTCGCCAACATTTGTTGTTGCTAGTTGTTTTTAACATGTGCCATTCTCACTGGTGTGAAGTGTTATCTCATTGTGGTTTTAATTTGCATCTCCCTTATTACAAGTGATTTGAACATTTTTTCATATGCTTGTTAGCCATCTGCATTTCCTCTTTGGAGAAGTGTCTTTTTAGCTCTCTGCCCATTTTTTTGATGGGGTTGTTTGCTTTATTATTGTTGAGTTTCATCAGTTCTTTGTATATCTTTGTGATCAATCCTTCATCAATAGTATTGTGTGAGAAAATTTTTCACAATCAGTGGGATGTCTGTGTTTTGTAATGTCTCCTTTGCTATACAGAAGCTCCTTAACTTGCTATAGTCCCATCTGTTTATCCTTTCCGTCACTATCATTGTGTTGGGTGCTGTATCTTCAAAGATGTTACTGATGTGTACGTCATGTAGTGTTTCGCCCATCTTTGCTTCCAGCTATTTTATGGTTTCTGTTCTTATGTCTAGGTCTTTAATCCACTTCGAGTTGGATTTTGTGCATGGTGTGAGGTAGTAATCTAGTTTCATTTTTTTTTTTTTGCATGTAGCTTCCCAGTTTTCCCAGCACCATTTGTTAAACTTTCTTTGTTCCATTGTATCTTCTTTGCTCCTTTGTCAAAGATTAGCTGCCCATAAACCTGTGGGTTTATATCGTGTTTTCTATATAAATCCACTGGTTTTTGTGTCTCAACAGAGAGATTGTAAAGGAGTACCTGATAGAATTTTGAGATTGAATAGCTAAGGAGTATAAGAGTCAGAGGAGAACCAAGGATGACCACACATTTTTAGACTTAAAGGAACCAGAGTAGTACTATTGCCATTTCTGAGATGGTGAAAAACAGGGGAGAAGCAAGAGAGAGGGGGATGGGAAAGGAATTACAAATTTAGTTAATCATACTGTATTTGAGGTAGCTATTAGGATAACCAAATATGTTTGCTAAAGAAACAGCTGGATATATAAATCTTCCCCGTCTCAAGACAATGAACTGACTATTTTATAAAAATAATGTCTCATTTAAGTAGTGAGTCACTCTACAACTATCTGAACAGAGTAAGAAGTAGAATAGAATAGGTAAATCAGAGTAGGGTGAGTTAAGGCCAAAAGGAAAAAAAAAAAATGTGCCAAGAATGAAAAAAAAACATTGTCAGTGGCCCTCCCGGGTGGCGCAGTGGGTCAAAGCACTGCATTGAGAAGCTAAAGCCACTTCCGCATGAGTTCGATTCCCGCCTGTCCCGGAGGTGACCACATGGCGTGGCAGACCTCTCCTGACCCGCCCGCTGCTCCCCTCAGCAGTGTACTTCGTCG